GCTATTTTAGGGGGATATCTGTGTGTGCAGGTGACTATTACTGTGCATAATTATTAGGCAACTTAACAAAAAACAAATATATACCCATTTCAATTATTTATTTTTACCAGTGAAACCAATATAACATCTCCACATTCACAAATATACATTTCTGACATTCAAAAACAAAACAAAAACAAATCAGCGACCAATATAGCCACCTTTCTTTGCAAGGACACTCAAAAGCCTGCCATCCATGGATTCTGTCAGTGTTTTGATCTGTTCACCATCAACATTGCGTGCAGCAGCAACCACAGCCTCCCAGACACTGTTCAGAGAGGTGTACTGTTTTCCCTCCTTGTAAATCTCACATTTGATGATGGACCACAGGTTCTCAATGGGGTTCAGATCAGGTGAACAAGGTGGCCATGTCATTAGTTTTTCTTCTTTTATACCCTTTCTTGCCAGCCACGCTGTGGAGTACTTGGACGCGTGTGATGGAGCATTGTCCTGCATGAAAATCATGTTTTTCTTGAAGGATGCAGACTTCTTCCTGTACCACTGCTTGAAGAAGGTGTCTTCCAGAAACTGGCAGTAGGACTGGGAGTTGAGCTTGACTCCATCCTCAACCCGAAAAGGCCCCACAAGCTCATCTTTGATGATACCAGCCCAAACCAGTACTCCACCTCCACCTTGCTGGCGTCTGAGTGGGACTGGAGCTCTCTGCCCTTTACCAATCCAGCCACGGGCCCATCCATCTGGCCCATCAAGACTCACTCTCATTTCATCAGTCCATAAAACCTTAGAAAAACCAGTCTTGAGATATTTCTTGGCCCAGTCTTGACGTTTCAGCTTGTGTGTCTTGTTCAGTGGTGGTCGTCTTTCAGCCTTTCTTACCTTGGCCATGTCTCTGAGTATTGCACACCTTGTGCTTTTGGGCACTCCAGTGATGTTGCAGCTCTGAAATATGGCCAAACTGGTGGCAAGTGGCATCTTGGCAGCTGCACGCTTGACTTTTCTCAGTTCATGGGCAGTTATTTTGCGCCTTGGTTTTTCCACACGCTTCTTGCGACCCTGTTGACTATTTTGAATGAAACGCTTGATTGTTCGATGATCACGCTTCAGAAGCTTTGCAATTTTGAGACTGCTGCATCCCTCTGCAAGATATCTCACCATTTTTGACTTTTCTGAGCCTGTCAAGTCCTTCTTTTGACCCAATTTGCCAAAGGAAAGGACGTTGCCTAATAATTATGCACACCTGATATAGGGTGTTGATGTCATTAGACCACACCCCTTCTCATTACAGAGATGCACATCACCTAATATGCTTAATTGGTAGTAGGCTTTCGGGCCTATACAGCTTGGAGTAAGACAACATGCATGAAGAGGATGATGTGGACAAAATGCTCATTTGCCTAATAATTCTGCACTCCCTGTATTTTGTCCTCTGAGTCCAAACAAAAAGTACACAGTTAAAAAACAGCCTTGCATGTGATTCAGGCATGGAAAAGCTTCACAGCCATTTCTCTGAGATCCCCTGCTTCAGTTAGTTGCCAACAAATTTTACAATTAGCTACACTCTGCTCAGCACCTCTTCTCTCTGTATGTCTGTATCACTCTCTGGGATGAGTCTCAAAACAATGATTAATGTGAAAGTAAAGCTTGGTGAAAGCATTCTTTAGGGATGTGTCCACTTTTAGGATGGGAATAAATATTTTTTCCTTATCAAAAAGATATGCAGGCAAAGCAGAAATATTTCCAGGATACTTGCATCTTGTTGTGCGGTCCTTTGGGTTCTTCATTCAGATCCAGCCAGAGTTTCAGGTCATAAATCCACTATGACTATGAACTGCTGAGACAGCTTTTCTGGATTAGCTTGCATCTCATCTTACTGAGTCACTTAGTGAATTTAAAATGACCTTTAATGTTTTCATTTTGAATTTACTGAACAAAAAAAGGCAATTTTCAAAAAGACATTCCTGTTTGTTTGTCATTTGGCATCCCATTTTATACTGTCTTTGCCATAGTTAGCGGAATTTGAGAGTGACCACTTATCTCAGCTGATATACCCAAGATATAGTGGTAAAAAAATGTTTTTCATTTACCTTTTAGGGCCCCAGCTGTGTGTGGGACGCTGGGATAAAGGCCTGGGCTCTCGCACCTTCACGCAGCTGACTGACCATGACGTAAATATACTCCATGACGTTCAATTTGTCCTAAAATTTTCTTCCCCTGGGCACCCTCTGTGTTCACCGAACATGTGACAAATCATGTGACACTTTTTGGCTTTTACTTCAGCTTTGTTAAAACTATTCTGACACCAGACGTCATCCTGCAGGTTTTCCAAAATTGTCATCTAACAATAATGCTACTCACACAGGCTGCCCTGCACCAGTTCTAACTACTCAGTTTAGCCTGCACTTGTTTAAACTGTCCAGTACTCTCACACAGTCTTTCAATAACCTATTATCATTCAATATGTTGTATTTTATAGTACATAAATCACCAAAATATCAACATCAGCAACAAATCCTGCACAGATCAAATGTCTGAGTAAAACAATGTAAAATGAATCACATGGACGTCACATGGAGCCCAACCTTTATATTTCTAGTTTTTCAAGCTTGATGTTCTTCTCCAGCCTCTTTAGGGTGCAGGCAAATTGTGTGCTAAACTGCACAGAAACAATTTGTGTGCTTGATCATATTTGAGCTATTTGAAAGATTGAATTTGAAAATGATCTGTTTTCTAAGTAACTGAGTTTATGCTTTTTCCGGTGACAGTGGGGGGGACATTGCTTAAATTTGTTGAGTTAGTATCTTCATAGCACATTGAAAATGAACCTATTTAGTATTGTTGTGTAATGCAGCAGTCTGTCAGATGAGTTACTCAATAATCCTGGGTGAAAGGGAAGTTTTGAGCAATAGTGAACTGATAATTAACAGACCTATAACAGATTCGCTCCAAACAAAGTGCAAAAAACATCGAAATGACAGTTGACTGAGGTGCATGTGGCCACCAGTAGGTCAGATGTCAACTGCAAGAGGAGAGGACAACTTTCATGAGAACACAAACATTTTGTCACACAGTCAACAGACAGCACATGTGTGAGCATGTTTGTGATTCTGGCCCAAATGGAACCTCATAGGTAAACAAGATGATGTACAAACAAGAAAATAGAATTAAAGTTTCACTCAATGGACAATGATTCATCTGATAAATGACCAGCACTGACAGACAGTCTCTTGAAACAGACTCAGATTGTTCCAAATAAAGTCCAGTCACATGTTCAGCTGACAAATTATAGGTATGTAAAGATTATTGAGGCACAAATATCAAACCTCTTTCAGAAAGTTACAAAAATTGTGAGACGTCTCTGCACCATCGTGACCATTTCAGAGCCACTGGAGCTGAAGCTTTGCCTTAAAGGCATTTCTGACATCCTGGCATGAATACTGTGGCAAGAAACAGGAGATAATTTAGTTATAAAAACACAACTAACTAACTATAAGAAATTATTTGTCAGCATGTCAGTATGGATGAGTGACAGTGTATGTGGAAATGGAAAGAAAGAACCCCATTGGCTGACAACGCTATTCAGTGGAGCCAATCAGTTACAGGCAAATATGTGATTTGCGTGCCCAGACGTGCAAACACACACCCACGTGTCTAGTTTGCTATCCTCCAGTAAACTCCTGCAGGACAAAGTGCAGCATATCCAAAACAGACAATTAGACCCATGATTTTCTAACATTGTAGTGGAACAATACTGACAGACACTGACATGCGGTTTCTGCCACTTTTAGCTGCTGTGTAAATTAGCATTTTGTCCCAAACTGGAGTGCAAAAGTTATGGTCCAAATGAAGGACGCTGGAGGCAAACTTAACAACAAAAACAAAAAAATCATATATGAGGCCGTAAACACAGCACAAAATAGAGAACACAGAAAAAACAAAGCAATAAACAGACAAACACAGGAGATCACAGAGTGACTCAATCACAGAGAGAGGCACAAGACACTGAGACAAGGGAAGACAGGACTATTTATACACAGAGCGTGATTAGGGAAGTGCTGAGGGAACCAGCACAAGTGCGGACAATGGAGGAGGAGTTGGAACAGGTGGTGACCAGGGCGTGATGGTTCTGCAGTGATGTTACCTGCTTGTTTTCTGACTTCCTGGTTTTTATAAATCCTAAATTTGCAGTGATTTTTCTGCACACCTCATTTACCATTGTAGTCTGATTGAGCAGAGAAGAGATGGTATTATTGTGGAGTAGAAACTAAAAGAATTGTAAGCAAGGCACAAGAGACAGCTATCTAATAAAATAAAACAAAACTGGAAATGACCCAAAAGATAACTAATAAGCATAAACGCGAGAAACTAACACCTAATGTAGCGACTACAGGAAAACAAACAAAATGTCGCTGAGAGTTCGAGGATGGGTTTTGTTGACTTTGTCTGACACGCTGCCAAAAAAATACACACAAAAAATAACACAAAAATGATTTATTCAATGAAATTCAACTCATAATAATGTGCACAAAATATATTCAAAATAATCACAGCAACCAAAATGAAATAGTGGTGAACAAAAAAATATGGACACACCCAGGAGTCTATATAACTCCACCCTTTTGACCTGGTACCTTCTTACCAGCCTGAGAACAAAGAACATAACAGAAAGTCATCCAATCCTCCCATTAATCACTCCATCTGTCAAATCTACCAAATTACCACTGTCAGATGCTTTGGTGAATAGAGACTTCCTTTACATTCGTCTGTTTGTTTCGTTGTACAATTTCTGCTCAACTTTCATGTAAATTTTGTGCTTGAGTCGAGCTTCGTGTCTGATTTGTGTCTCTCCAAACCTCCAGACTCACGCTTTGTCAGTCATATTTGCGTCTCTGAGCTCTCTCCTCTCCATCTCCTCTCCTCTCCTCCTGTGCTGCATCGCTTTGCCTCGTGGCCGCCCGCCACTGATGATGCTGAAGCTGATGTCATCACCGCCTCCCAGCATCCCTGGCACAGCTGCACCGCCATTTTCCCTGCTTTCAGACTGCCTGACGGACAGACTGACGGCCGGCCGTCGGAGCATCCCGCACCCATCCTCCTGTTTATCCGTGCGGCACCCCGCTCCTCCCTCCACACCACTCCAAGTCTCCCACTCTTTTCTAACTGACGCACCGCTGCTGAAGCTGAGGCACGGCGGATTATCCATGTATGGGTGCGTGAGGGGAAATGATGCTGTAGGCTAACCAAAGGATAGAGCGAAGGACCAAAATACGAGCTGCAGAGGAGAATCGGAGGAGGCACCAGAGGATCCTGCCGCTGTTTTGAATGGGAAGGGGGATCCACCATTTGCGGCTGTCGAGTCTGAGTTGCTGAGGTAAGACACGGCGTGTTTTTTCAGGGCAATAATGGGTGTCACGCCTCGGTGAGGACAGGGTATTTTTGCGTGTTGGTCATTTCGAGGCTTTTGTGCGCTTAAGAGACGCTGCGTCAGGGTGTTTGGGGTATGATTCTGTGTTTAAAAAAACAGTCAAAAAACACAAATCTGCCATCTTACTGAGTGAATTGGACGAGCAAAGGCGTTGATAAAGGCTGGGACTGTCATGTAAGCTGTAATAATGTGTGCTGACCTCCTTTCTGACGCAGTCTGGGATGAATTGGTGTCTGAGCTGTGTATGTTTACGCGGCCTGTCGTCGAGGTGCGGCAGGCACAGCAAGATGGAGGAGACATTATTTACATGGCTTAGGAAATATCCAGGAAATGTCATCGGTTAAAATTCTTCTCATCCTCAAATTTATAACGTATCAATAATGGCTTATTGTTTGGATGTTAAGCAAGATTTCCCCCCTTGTTGATCGACGGGGGCTTGGATGTGACGGTGGATGTGCGGTGTGCTGTCTGGAAGCAATGATACGTTTATGAATTATTGTAAATTAGCTCATTAACTAAGAAAAAAAATTGTAGGGGTTAGGAAGAAAAAAAAAGGAATATCGAGCTTATTTTGGAAGGCGCAGTGAGAAGCGCCTCATATTTCAGGGTTGTGCATTATTTTCATTGATTTGAAGCAGTCAGGCCTTCATCCATGGCGGTGTTGCTGGCAGGGAATAAGCAGCCATTTTACTGTAGAATTGCAGAGACGCTGATGATCATCCTGCCAAATGTTGGTCCAGCCATTTAGTCAGTAGGAACTGGGTGTTTCTGCCTGAAGACAAACTGACTGTGATTCAGGGCCTAAAAATGGAAAATGGTGTCATGTGTATGTCTCAGCTGTTTGTGGCTAAGAAAGCTGCATCACCATTATTAAAAAAACAAAATGACAAAAAAACAAGTCAGAAATATTAAAAGATAATGTTTAATTCCTGGATTAAATTCTATAATATGGAGTCTTAATGATTTATGGTGTCACATGTGCTGTCACTGCTAATGAACTCCTCTGTCATTGTCTACCTGTGCAGGTGCCAGGTGCGCACTGGCCACGGGGATCTCCAGCTCTTCTGCTCACTCACACGTAGACCTGCAACATGGCGGGGGCTTCCGTGAAGGTAGCGGTGAGGGTCCGACCCTTCAACTCCAGAGAGATCGGGAAGGAGAGCAAGTGCATCATTCAGATGTCTGGGAACACCACGAGTGAGTATACGAGAGTTCAGCTGGTAGCGCCGAGACTTCTCAGTGAAGATTTAGTCAGACTGACTTTAATGTTTGAGAGTTTAATTATGCCTTTTAACTGAGAGAGGTGCTTAAAATGTAGTTATTGTGCAAACTTATAAAGTCGATTTACACATTTCAAGGTTAAAAATAATCCTTATTTATCTTACACTAGGTGTCAGTTTATCTGCTTTCTGAAACTACACATTTTAGCTCATTTGCCTTAAAACCAGCCTGTTAGGTCTGAGCCATCATAACCCTAACTCTATGAATATATAATTTGTTTGTCTGTGTGTGTTCTCCCGTCTTGGCAATCAAGTAAAAAAAACCAAACAAACCCAAAACAGTTCTTCTAACTGACAGCCATCCAAAACTATTCACATTTGTTCCAGAAGAGTCATTTTTCTTTTCTCCAAAATACAGAATTAGGGTTGGGTGCACGCTTGACTCATCACCAATGATAATGTAGATCTCGGAGGGTTAAGTCCACCCTCCCTTTTAACCCAGCTTTCTTCTGATTGGCTGCCCCTCGCAAATAAAAGGTTGGAACAGCAAGTGGATAAAGTATCTTTGCTCACAGCCTGTGATGACCAAATCCAGACTATCCCCTTTCAATGACATCATACAGAACCAAGAGTAAAAAAACCTCTCAGCTCTGGTGCTCTTTATTTGAAACTGTATCCACACGAGCATCCAGCCATGTAAGAGAATATGTATGACCAAAAAAATAGGTAAAAGCATTAAAGACCCACTTTACTGAGGATCTAACACTGAATATGTTAACCCAGTGGCACTGCTTTAATTGAAGTTTACCTCTATTACTTAATTATTCATTTCGTCATTGACATTTTGATTAATTAACTTTATAGTTCTCTTTAAAAAAAAATAAAATCAAAGCCCTCAGGTGTAGGTGTAGAAATGCAGCATGAGGTGGAAACTTAAACCTGTGGTTCACTTAGACTGAAAAGCACCAGAGAAGCACTGTGATGTGCATTTAATCTTTAAAGAAGAACGCCAACTTAGCTTTTCATTGTGGAACAATAAGTGTGTGTTTTAAGAAAGGTAAGTGGCCTTTTTTGTGGAAAAAAAGACAAATTATTATTAATTGCAGAATATTTACATGTGTTTTGTCTAAAAGATCAGTCGACTGAAAGCTCTATACTATATAACCACCAACTTTAAGTCAAGTTGTGTACTTTTTCAGGACAAAATACAAACAGAATACTTGGAAAAATGCTGCAATCTCTAAAACAAAAATCCCTTAATGTAAGAGATTAAAAGAAGCATTCAGCATTTCTGACTAGTTTGTATGAGGTGTTTATGGAGCATTTTTGTTCTGTTTGTGCTTCAGAATAACAGGCTTTATGTAAATGTAGGCATAATTAATAACAAGAAGAATATTGAATATTCATTTTTAATTGGCCAGTAGGATAAGGCTGTTCTTAGCTTCTTAATTTTACAGTAAACTGATTATATAGCGCTCTATTTTTAAAACAGACAGAGCATATGACACGTGTTTATGTGAATAATTACAGCAATTCGATTCAGTGATTACGAGGTTGCGTCTGAGGTGCTTCACTGAAAGTCTGAGTTGTGTTTAAAGTGATCCTCTGATGCTGTTTTGGTCTCATTTCTGTGACCCACTTTGAAGCATTTTTAGTGTTTCACCTCGTCTCGCGGGCCGCATTGTCCTGCGGCGGTATAACAGCGGGCAGGGAGGCATGCAGCATTTTGGCAGCTCGAGACGGAAACAAAAGCTTCAGTCAGGCCTGAAACCCGTCAGTGTGTGTAGGATGTAGCGACAGCCGCGGCTCTCTTCTCTCATCATACGAGCTGCATGGACCAACAAGGGCCCGTTGTTCTGGTCGAGTCCAGACCCGAGGTCAGCTGATGTAAGGGTGCAGGAGAGAGCAGGCGCATGTCAGCCTGCTGTGCCTGTTTTTAATGACCTCATTAAAAGCCAGAAGATTCAGGCTTGCATTACTTCAGCTCGGTAACTTCACATGTATCGAGTGCTAAGAGCCTTCGCTCCTCTTAACAGGACTGCTTCACTGACGCTGCTGCTTTATTGAACTCGTCCACAAGGGGTGATACGGTTTATTTAATTTGCGGCCAGAAGAGCAGCTGCTCCTCCTCAGAAAAGAGAGCTGTGGTGTATAATTGCAAAAGCTGTTATTGAGCAGAACTGTAAATCCTATCTGATCCAGAATGTTCTCATTTTTTGTGTTTTTTGGTAAATATAATTCAAAGTGATAGAAAAAAATATGCTTACTGGACACTTTACTAGTACCAAGTTGTTGTCAGAACTGCCTTAATGGCCTGTGGCATATATTCAGCAAACTGCTGGAAACATTTCTCAGGAATTTTGGTGCCTGTTGACACGGGCCAAGGAAATATCCCCCACAACTTTATATCTCCAGCAACCTGAGTCAGGTGTATCCATGCTTTCATGTTGTTTATGTCAAATTCTGACCCTACCATCAGAATGCGGATATCGAGACTCATCAGACCAGGAAACGTTTTTCCAACCTTCAATGGTAACAATTGTCCCATTTTGGCGCACTCAGTTTTCTGTTAAGCTGACAGAAATGGAAACCAGTGCAGTCTTCTGCTTTTGCAGCCCATCTGCTTCAAGGTTCCCCATCTAACCTTCCATTCAGAAATACTCTTCTGCATACCTTGGTTGTTACAAGCTTTTATTTGAGTTACTGTTGCCTTCCTATCAGCTCGAAGCAGTCTGGCCATTTCCCTCTTTGACCCTTGCCATTCACTGAATATTTTCTATGTTCTGGGCCATTCTTTGTAAACTTGGGGACGATTGTGCGGGAAAATCCCTGGAGATCAGCAGTTTCTGAAATACTCGCACCAGCCTGTCTACCAACAACAATGCCACATTCAAAGTCACCTAAATAACCTTTCTTCCCAATTTTGATACTCAATTTGAACTGCAGCAGGTCATCTTGTCTACAGACATAATTGAGTTGCTGCCATGTGACTGAGTGATTAGATATTTGCACTAATGAACAGCTAAACACGTGTTTCTAATAAAATGGCCAGTGAGTATGCATGTTAATGTAAAATGAAGGTTTTAAACAAAACCTTTGTTTATAATAAGAACTGGATTGTAATTATCCGTGAAATATGCATAAAAAAGACCAGTAAATAATACAAATGATAAGGCAGGAGTTGAACTAACTGTGGGGGAAACACACACACACACACACACACACACACACACACACACACACACACACACACACACACACACACACACACACACACAAACATTAGATGGATCATTATTGGACACACTGCTCTGGGTGGAAACAATCATAAAAATAAATAAAAGAAGAAAATCAAAGCAAACCCATGAGCATTTAAACACAGCATGCATACAGAGTGTGGGTACGCGACAAAATTAACCGGTCACAAAGACTGTGTGATAAAATACTGATATAGATTCATAGCAGATATGAAATGTTTCACAGTTTCCTTCTGGCTTACTGTATGTAAACTAAAAAAGCCAGATAAGGAAGACAGAATGAAGAACATTCAGCTTTCGATGCTTCTAACTGATCTGTTTTGATCTTTTTAGCAATCTTGAATCCAAAACAGCCGAAAGAAAACAAGAGCTTCAACTTTGACTTTTCCTACTGGTCACACACCACGGTGAGTCTTACAGCTTTCATCAAAGGAAATACATCTGCATTAGAATATAGAAGGCTCTGCTCTTAAACAAGTCCCCAGTGACTAATCCCTCTAACTTTTCTTTTCTTTTTTTTTTTGCCTGCAGCACACTGTTTGATATTTAATGTGTGTTAGAATAATGAATATTCATGCTATTAAAAAATGCTAATTTTCAACCCCCCCCCCCTCTTCGTTATCACTCCGCTATCTCCATGTCTGCAGCCTGAGGACGTCAACTATGCCTCCCAGATGCAGGTGTACAGAGACATCGGAGAGGAGATGCTGCTCCACGCCTTTGAAGGCTACAATGTGTGTATATTTGCATACGGGCAGACGGGTGCAGGCAAAAGCTACACCATGATGGGCCGACAGGAAAAAGACCAGCAGGGAATCATTCCTCTGGTAAAGCAGGAAGCAGTTTTAAATACAGTTTAATGAAAGACAATTTTGTGCCGATTTGACTCCAACACAGAAGTTTGAAGTCCTTAAGTTGTAAAGTGACAGTGGCATTTTGTTTTCTAGCTGTGCGAGGACCTTTTCACCAAGATCAATGACAGCAATAATGACAACAGCATGTCCTACTCAGTGGAGGTGAGTCATGCTAAACTCTGATATGCCTTTTGGCAGGCTTTCCTGTTTGCATTTAAAGAAATTTTTTTCAGGTAGTTTGGCTGAAACATGTGAAACAGAAGCAGGTTATATTGGAATTGTGTTGTTTTATCAGATAGTCAGAAGCTAATTCATTCATTTTTAATCTTATATTGTTCCTGTAGCAGCAAGTCACTTATTATAACGAATTAATTAGTCATTAAACATCTTTTATGACTGCCTTCTCTTCTCCCTGCAGGTGAGTTACATGGAGATCTACTGTGAGCGTGTGCGTGACCTGCTGAATCCCAAAAACAAAGGAAACCTGCGTGTCAGAGAGCACCCGCTGATGGGACCTTATGTTGAAGATCTATCAAAGCTAGCCGTCACCTCCTACAATGACATCCAGGACCTGATGGATTCTGGAAACAAGGCCAGGTAAAAAATTTAAGATCAGTTGTTTAGATTTGATAATTGTTATTTTTAAAAACCCATGAGCATGTATTTTTGTTTTTTTCAGGACTGTGGCTGCTACCAACATGAACGAGACAAGCAGCCGCTCCCACGCCGTCTTCAACATTATCTTCACTCAGAAGAAACACGACATGGAGACGGACAACACGTCAGAGAAGGTCCGGTGCAAATCACCCACAAACGAAGATTTTATTTTTCCATTCTTCTGACTACAAACAAATCAATAAGGAGAGTTGAGGCAGAAATGATTTTATGACGTTTTATGGCCTGTTTTAGGAGGCCGCGTATGCGGTGCTGCTATCTGTTGAACGTGTTTCTGTATTGACTGGTAAACCACACTTTACTGCCAGCTCTCCTTTTCAGCTCCGGGTGGATTGTGTTTGCTGCGGTGGATATTTAGTCCTTTTCAGAGAGGGTGAATTATTTTGAAAAAAAAAAAAATTATTGTCTTCTTAGGTCAGCAAGATCAGTTTGGTTGACTTGGCTGGCAGCGAGAGAGCAGACTCAACTGGAGCTAAAGGAACAAGGCTGAAGGTGAGATGATGTTGCTGTTTCAGTGCTATGCAATGGCAAGCAAGTCTTTTCTTGAAGAAGTTGTTCATTTTCATCTAATTTCTCTAAATATTTGTAAAATTTGACAAAATAAGTATTTAATATTCCCTTTCAGGGGGTTTAATGGTTTTACAAATGATTTTGAGTATTTCATTACAGATTGTAAGGTTAAAATGTATTTTATAATCTTCTAAAACAAAGGGCACACCAAGAAAAACACAATAAGTAACGCACCACAAATGTAAACATTGTGGAAGAAAATGATCATGGAAAAGTAAAAAATGAATAAATACACAAGGATAAAGAAGCAAAGTAAAAAACTGATTGAAAAGCTCATTGCCTATATTTTAAAACAGACTCCACAGTTTTCTACAACAAAATAAGAAACATAATTTAAAGTTGAACTCATAAATATGCACTGATTGGTACCTAATTACATCTTTCAACAAACTGATCCATTTTCATAAACGTAGAATTAATAATACATAGCAGCGGGTGCTGATTTTGGACACGGCCACGTTGCTTACTCTGAACTCTCTACTCAGATTAGCTGTGGTTCTTTGAGCCCCGTTCTCCATGTGTCCGTAATGGCTTCAGCTTCATTCTTCCCCGACTCAGATGTCCCATCCTGAGCCTCTCCATCCTGCAACAATTTGCCAACTTCAATTGGAGTCTTCTACATACTCATCTCTCAACCTTATCTAGCTAGCTCATGTTATAGCAGCATTTATATAAAAAAATAGTATAAACAATATGTGTCACTATACACCCAGGCCTGTTGCCATTGTTTAGTGCAGCATTTTACATTGATTTCATTTGGGGGTCAAATTTACTCCGCCATTGGTTCAAGGTATAAATGATTGAACGCCCCAATCAATTTCATCTTCTTTTGAGTTACATGACTTTTAAAATGCCAAATGAGTAAAAAAGACTCCTTTGGTGGTTTTAGCGCTAATTTGAAGTAATATATCTAAAATGTACTCATGATTAGATGGAAAAATACATGAAATGGCTGATTTCTATATTTTGTGTGTGTGTTTGCAGGAAGGAGCAAATATCAACAAATCCTTGACCACTCTGGGAAAAGTGATTTCTGCTCTGGCTGAACTGGTATGAACTTTTACACTTTGCTAAAAATCTTACTTTAAAATCCTATTTTGTGTGTTTCAATTACAAATGCTGGTGTTTCTTCTTCTCTTTTTAGGACTCTGCACCAAACAAGGTTAGTATACAGCGGCACGCAGGGTATATGGAGCATCTTTTTTTAGGGTAAACTTCAAATATTATTGTGATTCCTTTGTTGATAGAACAAGAAAAAGAAGAAGGTGGAGAGTTTCATTCCCTACAGAGACTCGGTGCTCACATGGCTGCTGAGGGAGAACTTAGGTATGCAAATGCAACCAGAAAAAAAGAGGTTTCAGCATAAGAAAAAGATTTTCTGTGTTAGTTAATGAAATATATTTGTGTATCTGTTTTAGGAGGAAACTCTCGCACAGCCATGGTGGCTGCCCTTAGCCCTGCTGATATTAACTATGATGAAACCCTAAGTACCCTTCGGTAAGGAAAATATATTAAAGCTCTGTTTTTGGGATCATTAAATTTGACATTTTTCACTATAAATGCATTTTAAAGCTAAAGTCACACTGTCATACTGCAGGGTCAAGCAAATAAATAGAAGTGCTGATTAGATTAGATTTTAAACTCTGCATACATCTGCAGAAAAGTGGAGTTCATGTCGCTCTGTCGGGTAAAACCATTAATGGACACTTCACAAACGTATTTTTCTGTTCAACCAGCTGTGAGACACCATCCTCACTTATATTTCATATTATCTGCTCACTGTTATTCGGTACAGAGAGGCTGAGGAATGATAACTTATCGACCACCTTTTAGGTACGCCGATCGTGCCAAACAGATCCGCTGTAACGCCGTGATCAACGAGGACCCCAACAACCGGCTGGTGCGCGAGCTGAAAGAGGAGGTGGCTCGTCTCAAAGACCTGTTGTACGCACAGGGCCTGGGCGACATCATCGAGAGTGAGTGTCACAGCAGCTCACGCACACGTGGCACACACGTGCACAGGAAGCTGGTAGTTAAAAGCTTTTGTGCAGGTTATGTTTTTTCTCTCAGTACATTGAAGACAGAGGATTAACTTGGGATGTGAGCGCCACTCTCACACAGTCTCTTCTCTCCTCTGTCCTATCAGCGTATCGCTGCACTGGTCCTGTCATCACTGGTTTGAAATGTGTGTATAACTGTAGCAAGCCTGCGCTTTGCAGCTAAAAAGAAATGAATCCCGAGCCGACTTTCCTCCTCCACCACACCAGAGACCAAACTAACAATCCTGAGAGAATGTACATGGAGTCAGACGATGCACAATTGATTAAAAAAATAAAACGAACTTTACAGAACAACTAAAATTATCTTTGTAGTTAAATCTTGTTAAAGCTGTAATCCATTGGCTAAGAGAAAAAAATGGCCTCCTTTCTTTTTTCCATGGTGTTACATGTTTCTTTTACTCCCCAAACCTCGAAATACTTTTAGCCACAAAAGTATGTGACCCCACAGTGATACTTTGTTTAAGAGATGCCGATAGGAGAACAGCGGAAACTGTCAGATTCAGGGTTGTCTTGAATCTTGCTGTTATTTAACAAGATTAGTGACCATGGAAGAAAGGACTGACTGAGAGGATGCCATTTTAGATTGTGTTTTGCAGTCTGGTCCTCTGTGTGTGGAGCTGCTGCATTCGATGCTCTGAGTCAGGTGCTTAGAGGCCTGCACCGCCGGGATCTTTGCTACAAACGCTGTGCTAAACAGCTTAAAAACATCAGTTCTTCTTTCACGAAAATAAAAATCAACACTCTATATTTGGTCCTCATGCATTGTAGTGATGTATCTATTATTTTTTTGAGTACACTTTGTCCTAACCATGCTTGCTTGCGAGCTTGTTGTGTGTGTTTGTGTGCAGTTCAGTGTCAGAAAAGAAAATCCCTCTGGTATTTAGCATTCAGTCTCTGACATTGTATGCCGTGTCAGTTTGAGTTGCTCTCTTTTTTTCTCCTTCTGCGATGGCTTTGGAAAGCAAATACGTCTGCTTCTTTGATCCATTATTTGAGCTTTCTCTTCTTTTTTTGTTACCCTCCCTGTTGTTCCCTTATTTTATTTTTTTTCCTTTTAAATCCGTATCCCTGCGTGGTCCTCTCAATCCTTGATGTCTTTCCTTGAATACCTTGCGTCTGCTCCTACCTTCCTTCCTTCCTTCCTTCCTTGCTTTCTTCCATGCAACGCCTCTCTTTCTGGCAGACCTGTGCGATTACAAGAACTTTGTGAATAATCGCCAGGCTGTCAATCAAAGGGGTGATCTCTCCACAGTGACCCATGCCATGACGGGAATGAGCCCCTCACCCTCGCTCTCAGCCCTATCCAGTCGAGCTGGCTCCATCAGCAACCTCCACGATCGCATCTTTAGCCCGGCCAGTGAGGAAGCCATTGAAAGGCTCAAGGTAGGAAAAAATAGGGGATGACGATGCATAGATAGAAAAAGTTCACCGGAGCAAAAGTGGATCTGGGTTGTGTGAGTGGGAATGAAGGGAGGAGAGGGGCTTAGGCATTTGGTGGGAAGACTCCTTGATGAATACGAGAATGAGCAGAGGTAATACTTCCATTTTGAGAGCAGGCTGTTTCTCCATCACCAACAGGAAACCGAGAAAATCATCGCAGAGCTCAATGAGACATGGGAAGAGAAGCTGCGCCGTACTGAGGCCATCCGTATGGAGAGGTTTGTCCAAGCTCTTTATGCTGTTTGATATCCACGAATGCAAAACCACCTGAAATTATCATTAAATTTAACATTTGCGTATCTGCCTGGCTTTTCAAGGCAGTGCACCTACAAGTAAAAAATCAATTGTCCATTTTTGATTGGACTTATTTCAAGGACATGTTACGGCAGTGCGTATGAGTGTGGCAAATTACACATTTTCCTAATGAGCAAAAAATCTCTGTTTTGATGCCAGGAGGCAGCACAGATTGTTGTGTCGGGAATGCATCTCGTGTAAATATCTACCAAATCAAATTGCCTAAATTTCTTTTTTATTATACATTGTGGAATTTTCAATAGAAGTTCACAATGTTTTTGGCCATATGACAAAAGCAAAACTAATTATTACACCATGAGATTGAGATCTCTGAAAGCTTTTAGTGAAATTTCCCGTTCATATCCCTCTGAGGATGAATTTCTCTCACTGGCAAGTGATCCAAACGTCCTTCCTCACAACTGAAAAATAGTTCCAACATTAAGGCTGTATTGACATCGTTCCTGAAGGAGGTGCTTATACAAGTCAAATGTGTTTGTATAGCATTATCAAGCATAATTCAGATTGTTTTACAGAGGACTACAGACATGACATGATGTGCTTTTACCCAAAGTTTTGCAAATCATGGAACTCATCGATTACAAAAAACAAAGAAGCACATGAAAAGTGTGAGATTTTATACAGTTTGTATAAGGAACACAAAACATTATGCATTGCATGGATAGACTGTCAGTTTAATGAAATAAAAAGAAATAGCATTATTGTAAATTTCCATCTGAGTTCATGGATTGACTCCAACTCTGATTAACTCTGTAGAGAGGCACTGTTGGCTGAGATGGGCGTTGCCATGAGAGAAGATGGAGGCACAGTCGGCGTCTTCTCCCCCAAAAAGGTACAGGTCCTCAGTCTGTGCCACGCACTTGCCAAACAACTTCTCAACCTCTTGAACGATCAGACCAAACTCACACAAACACTGAAACATATTTCTCTTTCAGACGCCTCATCTGGTGAACCTCAACGAGGACCCACTGATGTCCGAGTGTCTGCTCTATTACATCAAAGACGGCATAACCAAGTAAAGAGTTCTATAAGTTCAATTTGACATGAAATCCATCCGGATACTGTGCAGTTTTTAGTAATTTCGATATATGTTTTTAATCTTCCTTCAGGGTTGGCCGTGAAAATGCCAAAACTCGCCAAGACATTGTTCTTAGTGGCCATTTTATCAAGGATGAACACTGCACCTTCAGCAGCACCACTGGCCCTCAGGGAGAAGGTAAAGTCTCTCCCTGTAGACAAATCTGCTAAAAAGATCCGTCTTTCCAGTCACACGTACATTTAACGCTTTTCTGCAACAGGATGCGTCATTCTCGAGCCGTGTGAGGGAGCAGAGACTTATGTCAATGGCAAGAGAGTGACCTCACCTATTGTCCTGAGGTCTGGTAAGTATTAGATTGTCTTTGATTTTCTAATAAATTTGGCAAGTCCTGAAATATGTGTCTATTTAAGCAGCGGTGTAATTTTTAATGCTTGAGTCAAATGTTTCAACATTCATGCTTCCTGCTGCATCTTTAAGGAAATCGCATCATCATGGGCAAGAGCCACGTGTTCCGCTTCAACGACCCCGAGCAGGCTCGTCTGGAGCGGGAGAGGACGCCGTGTGCCGAGACACCTGTGGAGCCCGTCGACTGGGCCTTTGCTCAGCGAGAGCTGCTGGAGAAACAAGGCATCGACATGAAGCAGGAGATGGAGCAGAGGTGGGTGTGGTCGCATGACTTGTTTTAATGGTATGAATATATGTCTTGGGAAAGTTCTTTGGTGTTGATGAAAATGAAACGTTGCAGGCTTCAGGAGCTTGAGGATCAGTACCGCAAAGAACGAGAGGAAGCCAGCAACCTGCTGGAACAACAGCGGCTGGTGGGTGCTCGCATGATCGCCATCGATCATAAAAAGTACTAATCAGTTCTAGGTGTTATGTAAATCCGCACCTCCTCTTGATCTGTACTGCATGTTTTCTTCCAGGACTATGAGAGTAAACTGGAGGCCCTTCGGAAACAGGTGGACTCTCGGTACCTGGAGTCACCTGAGGAAGAGGAGGAGCCTGAAGAGGAAGGTGATACTATCACTTTAATTTTTTTTCTTTTAGTTTTGGCATCAGACTTTCATTTTATTCACATCAAGTTCTCGTGTACCCTCCAGTGCCGTGGACGAAGCGCGAGACCGAGCTGGCGCTGTGGGCTTTCAGAAAGTGGCGTTTCTATCAGTTCACGTCCCTCAGGGATCTGCTCTGGGGCAACGCCATCTTCCTCAAAGAGGCCAATGCAATCAGTGTGGAGCTGAAGAAGAAGGTTAGATTGTTGTAAGATATATGCTTTGGCAGTGCAATGATATTTTTTGTGCTATGTTTCATTGCACATTGTGTTAATTTTGTTGTAAACAAACAAAATGCAGGTCGTTGCTCTATGAGGTCTGAAAAACTCGAATTTTTCATTATTTCCCTGACTTTAAATATGTGTCTTGTACTCATTGACATTGACATTACTTTGCATGTTGTTATTATTAGTTATTTATTTTTAACTAATAAAAAAGGCACATGAAGGATTTAGGTCTTTGACAGATGTCATATGTGCAGTTAAAGTATTTAGAACAAATACTACAATTTCTCAGCTGTTCAATTTTCTCATTTTCGTTTTGGATTACTCAAATAACTGTGAGCTGCTGTTCTAGTCTAAATTATGATGCAATCTCGTGTTTTCTTCACAGGTGCAGTTCCAGTTTGTCCTCTTGACAGACACTCTCTATTCTCCGCTGCCCCCTGACCTGCTGCCTCCCAGTGAGGCTAAAGAGAGAGAGAGGCGACCGTTCCCTCGGACGATAGTGGCCGTCGAAGTGCAAGATCAAAAGAACGGAGCCACACATTACTGGACTCTGGAAAAACTGAGGTACTCAGAGGTTTTGAGAGTCTGGCTTGAAGCTCGTTTCACGGTCACAATTTAATGGTCATCCCTGTAGAAAACAGTGCAGTTCTTTTAATTCAAAGCACTGGTCAAAGTAGCTGACAGTTGATACACATGTCTGCATATCAGCAGATACTGACCTGTTGTTTTCTCCTGGCCCTTGTAGACAGAGGCTGGACCTGATGAGAGAAATGTATGATCGTGCTGCGGAGCTGCCCAGCAGCGCCGTGGAGGACTGTGACCACGCCCTGACAGGAGGCGACCCCTTCTACGACCGCTTCCCCTGGTTCCGTCTGGTCGGCAGGTCAGTAACATTCACAGATTTAAGTTCTTTTACTGCACAGTGAGGACGCCCACAAACCCATCATCACTTTCCCTCCTCCTCAGGGCTTTTGTGTATCTGAGTAACCTGCTGTATCCGGTCCCTCTGGTACATCGTGTGGCCATTGTAAGCGAGAAAGGAGAGGTGAAAGGCTTCCTTAGAGTGGCAGTGCAGGCCATCTCAGGTACAAATAAAAATTAGCTGTCAGATGCTGCACACGTCCTCTTGTGTTGTTTTGTGTTTCTGGAAATGCTTGTTAACTATACTGTTTGTGCTTTTGTGTCTCTATTTAGCTGATGAGGAGGCGCCTGATTACGGCTCTGGCGTGAGGCAGTCAGGCACCGCCAAGATCTCCTTTGAAGACAAACAGTTTGAGAAGGTACGTCTGGGCTGGTGTTGTGCAGCTGAGTCCTTCTTGTCAGATTAAAGTGGAAATTTGGAGCCTGAAAAAAGAAATTCTAGTGTTCTGCTTGTAAAAAGAGGCAAAAGCTGATGATTTTATGTTCTGTTTAGTTTCAGACTGAGTCGTGTCCCGCAAGTCTGTCGCACTCCAACACCTCACAGGAAGAGCTGCGAATTGTGGAGGGAGAAGGACAAAATGCTGAGACTGGAATCTCTGCAGATGAAGTTAACAACAACACCTGTGAAGGTGAGGGGAGGGCGACGACAGGGACACGGTGGTCTTACTAGAAATACCTCATGAACGGAAATATATTTCCTAGCTGGCACATCTAATGTCAAAATGTCAATGCGTTTCTGAGTCTCAGCTTCTTCTGTGCCACGCAGCCACACTGGATGCTCCTCTAAGCCCAGTAAAGAGTTTAGGTCTGGGTCTGGATCTTCCTCTGGACCTGTCTCCAGAGAAAGCGCTGTCCCACCTCAAGATCGGCAGCACTTTCACCTTCAGAGTTACCGTCTTACAGGCCTCGAGCATCTCTGCAGAGTACGCCGACATCTTCTGCCAGTTCAAGTAAGTTAAAGCAAAGTTCCTGGAGTAACATCGTCTACCTGATGTGAATTTCATTTAACAGTTCTCGCTGAATGCCTCTCCTAGTTCTCTCTTTTGTCTTTATGCAATTAGATACAAAGATTTTACAAATTTTACCTTACAGGTCACATGAATTAATGGTTAAACTCTAATCAAACTTAATGTATTTTCTAATTTACGGATTAAAGTCTTTGTCATTTGAGAAGCTGACAGTGAAATAATCTGTGCTGTTGTTAGCCAGATGCTTTGGGTGATATAATGTGTAGGAAAAACAAAAAGGCAGGTCAGCTGATGAAATGACTTCACTGTTTTCAGCTTCATCCACCGTCATGACGAAGCTTTCTCCACTGAGCCGCTGAAAAATACCGGCAGAGGGCCGCCACTGGGCTTCTACCATGTCCAAAATGTAAGCAGCATTAAACGCTTATATTAACAAAGACAACTGATTACCTACTGTTCACTTCCTCTTGTTATTTGACATATTATGTTAGCAGTCCATTTCTACAAACAGCTTTCTCAAGGGTTCATTCGAGTATTTTTCTCTCTGCCTCCGATAGATCACAGTGGAGGTGACCAAGTCCTTCACGGAGTACATCAAGACTCAGCCCATCGTCTTTGAGGTGTTTGGACACTATCAGAAACAGCCGTTCCCTCCACTCTGCAAAGATTTAATCAGGTCAGGAAGAAATCTGACCGGGTGACTTTTGATAATTTGATGGAAAAAAAGTTTTTCTCACAGTTTCATGTTGGGGTTTTTTCAGCCCACTGAGACCTTCCAGGAGGCAGTTCCCTCGGGTAATGCCGTTATCCAAACCAGGTTAGCAATGACATTTCAGCCACCACAATCTAACTTCTATACATTAATCTAATGATCAAAAAAAGGGGAAATTAATAAATGAATGAATGAATGAGTGCTCTGCAGGCTCCTCTGATTCTGCCTGTTTCCATTTTAATGAAATAATTATTTAATTCAATCATCTATCGATGATTACCGTGTGTGCTTGATTTAATATTCTTAGCAACAAATGAATGAATCTGCATCCTCTTCATTCATCCAGTGCCTGCCACCAAGCTCAACACTCTGACTCGCTCCACTGCGGGACCCTGTCACGCCAAATACGATCTCATGGTCTTCTTTGAGATCTGCGAGCTGGAAGCTAACGGAGAGTGAGTCCTGTCTGTTCCTGTTGCTGCTTAAATATGCAAAAGGGAAAGCATACACATGCATCTCACTTGTTATAATGTTATAATACGTGTCTAAAAATGGATTATCCCTCTGCCTCCAGTTATATCCCGGCTGTTGTTGACCACAGAGGTGGGATGCCCTGCCATGGGACGTTCCTTTTACATCAGGTCTGACCATGTTTACCTCTGCTGTCACACTGCTAAGTTCTTCATTTTAACCACTGAGAAACTAAATCCGCTCCTCATCTTCTTGCGACTCCACAGGGCATTCAGAGGAGGATCAGAGTCACAATTGCTCACGAAACAGGAAATGATATTGAGTGGAAAGAAGTGAAGGAGCTCGTTATTGGTGAGTACGATATACGTGGCCACGTTTGTCAGATTTTTGCAGGAAGAGCTCAAAAATCAAAAAAATGACCAGTCTAATTGTCACTTGTTTGCCCGCAGGTCGTATTCGAAACACGCCCGAGGCTGATGAGACCATCATAGACCCCAACATCCTTTCCCTCAACATCCTGACCTCTGGATACGTCTGGCCAAAACATGATGACAAGTAGGAATTTGTTTTTCCAGTCTTCCTTCAAAGCATTTTTCTCTTTGTTTGCTGAGTTGAAACTGTTGAAAGCTGGAGAGAAAGGTTCATAACTCACCTTATTTCTCTTTGTTAATCGCAGTGTCTCTCTGGGAGTTGATCACAGGTACCATGTTTTTCCATCTTTGTTTCTTAAAAACAACATGCAACAATGTCCATTTGTTCCTTAAGCTTTTCATGCAATGAAAGGCTAGATGCTGTTTTTCCTCTCTGTAGAACTTTCTACCGATTCGAGGCCGCATGGGACAGCTCCATGCACAACTCTCTGCTTCTGAACAGAGTCACACCCTATGGGGAGAAGATCTACATCACCCTCTCTACTTATCTAGAGGTGGGAGAGTGTTCGTGCATTGTTCTGCAAAATTGTAATTTTTTTTTTACTTTACTTTATTAATGTTTTCTATATTTGGGCTAGATGGAGAACTGTACTCAGCCGACAGTTATCACCAAAGACTTCTGCATGGTGTTTTACTCCCGTGACACAAAGCTGCCGGCATCCCGCTCCATCAGAAACCTCTTCAGCACCGGCTGCCTCCGGCCCTCTGAGAGGTACTGGATTAAGGATTTTAACTAGGGCTGTCAAACATAAGGATGGGGGGGCCAAAAATGGTCTGACCAAGACTCCAATCCAGCCCACTGTACAGCTTTAAAAAAAAAAAAAGGATATTTTCTGTGACTTAATGAAAACTTTCTATTTAGAAAGTTGGGAGGCTGTGATTACACATTTATCATGTAGTTTCACTGGTTTGGCACCATTTCAGATCAAAGTTCTAGGTTGATGCATGCTTCAGAGTTTAAGATTTAAGCTTTCTCTCCTCAGTAACCGTGTCACTGGAGTCTATGAAATCACTCTCTGCCACGTGGCTGACAACGGAAGTCCAGGTGCAGAATAAAATATAAATCAATAATAAATGAAAATGGCAAAAACGTTTGTTTGTCCTTTGTCGTTCTAAATGCTTCTGTTCCCCTTCGTCAGGCATGCAGCGTCGTCGCAGGCGCGTGCTGGACACCTCGGTGGCTTACGTGAGAGGCGAGGAGAACCTGGCTGGATGGAGGCCCCGCAGTGACAGCCTCATCCTCGACCACCAGTGGGAGCTGGAGAAACTTAGCTTACTGCAGGAGGTCAGTGGAATTATTGGAATTATATTATAGTTTATTTTTACAGTGCTTACATCATAATAGTCTCTTATATCTTAGGTTTTTCTTTGGACATTGGATGCTTTTGCACTCTTTATCAGTCCAGTCCTGGTACCTCATCATTGTGACTGGAGTGGGTTTTTTTTGTTTCGTTTTTTAAGACTCTTAACCCGGAACTATGAATCATTCAAGCATAAAAAGCAACTAACCCAAGTGATAAACCGGTGTTTACATATATTAGACAACTTAGGAAAGAAATAATTATAATATTTGTGTCTTTAGGCATTTTGTTACTAGCAGCCAGTAACAGAAGCACTTCATTTGTTCCCATCTCTTTAGTTGATAGCAAGAAAAATCCCAAAGATAACATGGTTTCACAGGTATGAAGTTGTATTTTGCACCAATAAGATTAATTCCAGGGGGCCACAGTAAAACTTGGGGTTGTGTGCAGTGTGCCCGTAAAACATTTTGAGGAAACTGGACATGTGGAGGCCAGAAAAAAAAGAAATGTCAGGCATAAAAACTATCTACAGCAAATGAACAGTGAAAGTCAGAAAGTCATGCCCTTATGAAATACGAAAAAAACCAGCAAAACCATTCTTAATGAAGGGAAATCTGGTAACAGATCTCGTAGAGCGATGAATCCAGATTAGACATTTGTGGTTCAAGTTGTCGTCAAAATGTGTGCAGGAGATCAGGAGAGAGGGACAACACTGAGTGTCTACAGCCATCTGTAAAACACAGTGGAGGCTCTGTCATTGTTTGGTGCTGAATCTCATCCAGTGGTGTTGGAGATCTTGTTAAAACTGATGGAATTATGAACTCAGAGAAGCACCATCAGATTTTCATCCACCATGCAATACCATCTGATTGGCAACAGTTTCATCATTCAGCACAGGATAGATCCCAGACCTCAGTGTTATTGAAGGGGATCATCTTGACAATAGAGCAAGAGCCAGCCAACATCCAAAGAAGAGCTTTGAATATCCTTCAAGAAGCCTGGAGAACTATTCCCGAAGATTAGTGAAACGACTGCCTACTTGACATGTGCTAAATAAACTCCTGTTGGACTTTGTCTTTCAAGTGAAATTCCCTTACATTCTTCTAAAGGTGGAAAAGACCAGGCACTATTTGCTGCTGAGGGAGAAGCTGGAGGCGACTCTGCATGCGGGACAGGATGCACTCTACAAAAATGGCGACATCATCGACTTTGCAAAGAGTCCCGTCCTCAGCCACAGCCCCAGCAGCAGCCCCGCCCCCGACAGCCCCAACCAGAGGCAGAGGGAGCTGGCTGCTAAGGTGACTGCTGCTCCCCTCATCTCTATTTTACACCTCAGTTTATTAGAGATTTATTTTCTTTCTATTTTTACACACAGCTTCATTCAGCTTCATGCTTTTAAATTGTTTTTTATATTTTTCACTTTCCAGTGTCTGCGTCTGCTGATGCACACCTTCAACAGGGAGTACAGCCAGGTGAGCAGCAGTGCCAGTGAGAGCAAGGTGAGCCCCAGCCTAGGCCCTCTATAACCCAGTCCTTTAGTCCTTCTGAACCTAATGTTTACAGCCTTCACTAAATATTTAAGCCCCGCAGTCCTTCTTTCCAGTCACTCCCTCTGCTACATCTGTTCTCATTCTTTCATGTTTTTTAAACACTTCACGCTTCCTTGTTGCAAAGAATTTCATACTTTTCACCTCTCCTCTGTCTCTATAACCAGATGTAATGTTTAACCTGGCTTAAACATTACTCAGAGATAGTTGCTGGATAAAACATGCCTAATATGACAACCATTTCTTTCAGTACTGACTCAGGTCTACTGATTACTCTTTTACACCATGCATCCCCTCCTACTTTCCTCACCCCTCACTGTCCCTTCTTCTTAGACACTGTGAGGCTTCCACTTACTTAATAACTCTCCTGCATGTCCTCTTTAACATCAGCGAGGGGCTCTTAGACATACCGAGGATTTGTACCACAGTGCTGCTTCTGTAGTACATTGCTAGAAGATGACAAACTGATCAAGCTGTTCTCTGAATGCATGTCTGTGTCGTTTGTGCTTAATTGTTTGCTGGATTGTTTTGTCTTTGTTTGTCTCTCTTCTTGTCTTGCGTGTCCTTGCTGTTGCTCTGGTTTCTGTGTGTGCGTGCTTGCACATGTGTGCGTTTTAGCTTTCTGAGATGTCTGCGTCTCTGATGAGGGAGTCATCCTCTTCTACACTGAGCACGCTCACCCCGTCCTCGACCTGCCCCTCACTGGTGGAGGGACATTATGACATCAGGTGAGGAAAAAATGTCATTTTGAATACATCTTACTCGCTTTTTGGTGCTTTGTTCAGTGAGCAGTAAGTCTCATGTGGGGCCAGGTAATATCAGTAAAAGCAAAATGCTGTTGTATTTTCTATAATGTGCAGAATTTGTTTTTTTAGAAACATTTATGTCCTCAGTTTTTTCAGTGTAGGCTCTTAGATTACGAATGGCAGGTGATGAAAACACCACAGAAGACTTTTTTTCTGTTTTTTCAACAGTCACAACATTTAGCACAACTATGCAAAATAATTACTGCACTGTAATAATTAGAATTCAGAAGAAGGTACGTACACACACTGGCCACTTTGCTAGGTACACCTGTTCGACTGCTCTTTAGGTTAAGTTTTTTTCAGGGAGGGGAAATTTTTTGAAGTTCAGCTTTGTAATTCATTCTCAACTGTCAGAAAAGTGCACGAAAGCTGCCCTGTAGATTTTCATAGGAAGTAACCTGCTTACAGAGATACACCTTGTTGTTTTGTTACACATTGCAAATGTGTTTTAAATCAGAACTAAGAAAAGTGGCTTGAAATGTTTTCTTTTGTGTCTTGACCGTTGCTCCCTTTTTGATGCAGTGTGAACATGTTTGCGTTGTCTAGACACACTGATCCCAGTTCTGGAGCATCCACACCGGACCTAGATCCGTACAGCCCCGTGGACAGAAAGAAAGTCCTCAGAGGATGCACCTTTGTTCCCGACATACAGGAGATTCGTGTCAGGTCAGATCACACTTGATACGTTTAATGCACCACCAGCTGCAATCACATGTTAGGAGATCCTCTGGATTATTTTCCTTAGTATTCAAATCGTAGGCCAGTTATTCATTTTGTATTTCTTTCAACATGCGCAGCCCTATTGTGTCAAAGAAGGGCTATTTGCACTTCCTGGAGCCTCACACCAGCGGCTGGGTGAGGCGTTTCGTGGTGGTGCGCCGGCCCTATGTGTACCTGTACCGCAGCGAGAGGGACAGCGTCGAGAGAGCCATCATCAACCTGTCATCTGCAAAGGTGGAATACAGTGAAGACAAACAGACGTTACTGCGGGTATGCTTCACTTCAGTCGTGAAACTCACTGCAGAAAAGACATATGACCATTTAACCGATAAATCTGAATGAGGTTTAGTAATCCCGGAGTATTTCCTGTCTTCAGACTCCCAACACGTTTGCTGTGTGCACCGAGCATCGTGGGATTCTGCTGCAGGCAGCCAATGACAAAGAGATGCATGACTGGCTGTATGCTTTTAACCCTCTGTTAGCAGGCACCATCAGGTGAGTGGTGGAGAATCTGTGAAGCATACAAATAGTTTACTATGAGTGAAAAGAGACCCAGAGTTTATATTTTGTCCACCTCCAAACACCCACACAAAGTTTTGACATTTTAATTATTCTGTTTTTTTCAGGAAATGGTCACTTATCCCCTAAAAATGAAACCTATTATTATAATTGCTTATTAGATGGTATTTTCCCCTTTATTTATCTTTCCTGCCTAACATATTCTTACTCTCCTTCTGTCAGGTCAAAGCTCTCCAGAAGAAAGTCGGTCCAGTCGTACCCATCGGCTCAGCGGATGTGAGAGTTGAAGGGGCCTGGCGAAAAACAGCGAACAAAACAATACAATCTAAAAGCTCAGCTCAACATCCTGCTTAATCGAGCATAGACCATATAGCAAACTTACACATAGAACCATTTAAATATCCCTCTATGTGATGACCGCCCCTGTCACTCACTCGCTCATCCACAAAGCCGACAAAAGCATTTTTTGCCGTCACCACCACACTAACCCTGCATGGTGTGCTCCCTTCCGACCTTTAGAAGAATTCCTAAGAAAATCTAACCACCCAAAACCCGTTACATAACTTACCTCTGCTGGGCGCTGGGACTAGTTCAGATTAGTTTTCATGTTTCCTGTAGATGTGTCATCTGTGAGGCTGCCAGTTTCCAGCAAAGACATAAGTCTCAGCTGTGAAACAGACATTGAACATCAACCATTAACGGCATCAAGTGAGGGGAGGGGTAAAAACATCTTATTGGATGTTTTCTCTGTGTAGGTGTGTTAAGTGCAGCGATGATAGCTCCATATCCATCCTCCATACATATAATGTACATAATAATGTACATTGGCTTGGTGCTCTGCAGCATAGAGTATTTGTTTCACTGAAGAGGTTTCAGATAGCAGAGATTCATCATTGCTGTTGCTCATCATTTTAACCTTGAAGTAGCATGAGGGGGGATCCAAGCTGTTGTTTCTGTGTCTTTTTTTTAAGATCTGGTTCTATGAAAACACGAGATCGTTTGCTAGATTAGGACGGCCCGTTCAGGAGAGATAATACGTGTCCTCGCCTTGTTATTGATATGTGCTTCGTCCTTCCTTTATTATTATTTATATTGTTTTTTCTACATAACCCCTTGCAGGTATAACCCTGAAGGAAAATGTTTAATGTTGCTGTTGAAGCTGCACTGTATTTTATTGTGACAGGACCACTGACAGTTTTGTTGCATGGCACTTTATTGAGTTAATGTCTCGTACCATTTACTCTGTTATTTTAACCAAAGCGTTCTTTTGCTTTTTGTAATCGTTTCACTTACTGTGCATTTGTGTGCAAAGATAGTTATTTTATTTTATTTTATTTTAGTGGGATTTTAAATGAATAGTTTGACACTTTGGGAAAATACTTTTCCTGCTGAGACTCAGATGAGAAGACAAAAAGCGCACTTATGATCCTGAAGCCAGCAGATTTTTTTAGCCTAGCTTGGCAAAAAGGTAGGAAACAGAAAGCTTGGCTGTGGCCGTTAACAAAAAGGGAAAATAGCACGTCTGAAGCGAACTAAATAGGACTCGTTTAATGGGTGACTAAATCTTGCATAAAGAGCTGCAAGCATCATGGAGTAAAACGCAAATTAGTGAGCTTTAGAAGTGCTAGTAGGTGATTTTGTTGCTTGAGTTAATCAATTTTCACACAATAAATCCACATTTCTGGCAAAAAAGGTGAATTTCCCAAAAGGTTACACTATTCTTTTAACCAATGAGTCGCACCAGATTTGATCTAATTGGGAGGACAACTGTACTGTGTGTGGTTGTCATTTTTATTTTTATGGATCAGCAGAGTTGCTCCGTTCGATAAGCTGACTTGTGAAGACTCCTCTTGTAGCTCAATAGAAAGGACAAAGTTATAATCGACCGTGGACCTTCAGTCTTTTTAGGGCGGTTGCTTCAAGTGGACGAGAGCGTTGTCCTAGCACCAGATAGTGCCTCCCTTTCTTCACCTCTCTTTTCTTTCTCTCCTTGATCCTTGTCTTTAGCATTAATGCTAAATAAAGTTACTCACATGCATTCATGATTAGCTTTTATGTAAAGTTATAGTAAATGCTATTAATCTTTGTTTTTTAAGTTTTCATTATGTATATCAATGTTTTGGAGAGTGAATATTATCAATGATCCTCTATAGCATATAGTTATTGCCTGTAACAGACTGTAAATGTTTCCTTTGACAGCAGTCTCCCTGCCAGCTTTTGTACCGTAGCTGCTCGGTATTTGACAGCCTGACGCTTGTGTCGGACATCGGTAAAGCATGACTGACTTGATGTTGTCATGACAAGGAATGGTTTGTAGGTCTTTAAAAAAAATCTATCGATAATGTTGCTTTGAAATCTAAAACATCTTTATCTTGTTATGCAAGAGTGACAACATTGGGTCAAATTTACCGAGTAGGCATATAATGCATTCAACACAGGCCTGGTCAGCCAGCCGGTCTGCCTGTCTCATTTCCATTTAAATGCTAATGATCAGTTTTCTACACTCTGTAAGCAGAATTTAGGACTTTGTGTGCCACAGGCCAGCCAACTTGTTGAGCAACACAGCCTAAATCATGTACAAGTTTGTAGAAAATCTGACTCTAGTTAAATTTTGCATTTTATTGCAGTTTTATTTTGCTTTTTTTTGCCACTTTGGGTTTTTTTTAAATGTTACTTTGTCTGTAAACAAAGAGTTAATTGAGTTTATTTATTGTTGAATGTGTTGGGTAGAACATGTTGTCTGCTGGTACAGAAGACAAATGGAAAGTTTTATTTGTAAAATATCAAAGCATAAATTATGTTCTTGAAAATTAATGCACTTACGCACAAAGCATCTTTATTTAATATGATTTTTGTATTAAGCATTTAGAAAATCTAGAGGACTTAAAAAAAAATATATATATATATATACGTCAAGGTAGTTGATACACAAACACTGGCACATAACTTTCAAGGCTTCCAACCCTAACAGTTGAAGAGTGTCAGAAACACTTTGTGAGGTAGTTTTAGTGTGCCTGCCAGTGATTGTTGAACGGCACATCAGTCGATCGTTTTGTTTTTCTTTTCCTTTGGCTGTTTTAGCTGTCACAACTCTGGATCAAAGCATGCAGGTCCACTTATCTTCCGCTTTCCCCTCTCTCCTGCCTTACCGCTTGCTAATGACAACAGCTTTCCACTCCTGAAAGTGCTGCTTGTAAAGTATGTCATCCATGATCCCCGTAATGATTTACTGGAAACCTTCCTCTTGGCTCGTGTCTTGTATATAAATGGAGATTTCTGTGTTTGGGTCTCATTACACAGATGATATTAACTCTCTTTTACTCTGTATACCATGATGAATAAGAATAATTGACCTGCTGCTTGGTTAAGTGTCACTGCAGAGTACAGAGTGCGGATCAGGAAGCAGTTTCGGACCTCTCGGCTCAGTGTGAGTAAGACGGTCATCCTGGACTGGGTACGTGACCCCAAGTCTGTGCTCTTGCTTGGAGTTGCTTGACAGAAGCAGAAACAGGTCGCAGCCTGTGATAAAGTCTTAAACTCAGTGCTCACGTTTATCTTTTGAGTGTTCTGGAGTTCTTTCTCATGTCTGTGGACACATAACAAAAGTTGTCAAAAAAAGAATCAAGCAAATAAATAAATGTGTTGAAAAACGTGTCGGCATTTGAATCTTGTGTGTTTGATTGTTACCGTGCACAGTTTAAATCAATAGTTGAGTGTGGAGTTCCCCTGGGATCTATTCTTGGTCCCCTGATGATCTGGTTACAGTGTACTGTAGGAGATCATAACTACAGTGGTAACACTTCACTGTCATCTATCTAATACTAAGTCGTGTGGATACATAAGAGATGTTTTCCTCAAAGCTTTTATTTTCCAGTTCCATTTATTTGACATTATTATCAGTTCTTGGTCTCATACTAAATACATTTATACAAGGAATAGGTAACTGATTTTAAACTTTGATATACCGTAATATGCAGAAGTCTTGAGCCACCCCTAATTGCTTTTGATTTTGCTTCAGTAGCCAGACTTTCATATCATTTTTAGTCATCCAGTCCTTGTGGCATTTTGTAAGCCACTTAACACTGACTGAGAAATCATTTAAGCATAGAAAGGGTGGAGGGATGAGCCATTCTTGTGTCTACACATAGCATAAGTTATAAAGAAGCAGTTTTGAATATTTAGGCACTTTGTTACTAACAGCCTGTCACAAAAAGACACAGTTTGCTCCCATTTATTTAGTTGAATCTCTGAAAAATGTAAAGCACTGTTTGACAGGCATAAAATAGCAATTTTGCAATTACAAGGTGATTTCCAAGGAGCTGCTAGCAGAAAACTCAGCATGGTGTGCTGTGTGTCCTTACAAATTTAAGGAAAACAGAAACAAACCAATTTAGTAGGTTATTTAATTTCAGTTTGTTGATTGCTTATCTCCAGCTAATCATACTTTTCTGACTGCCATGTGTCTTAATGCTGTATATAACTGTACTTGCTCTGTCCAGTTTTGGCAGGTTGAACGTCTAAAGAGCCAGAAACATGTCCAATAAAACATGACCCCAGTGAGAGACTGTTTTTGCTGACAGTGCAACCTGATAAATGAATAACATTATCATAAAGCTTTTCTATGTTCTTTTACATAATAGTTTGTACTTTTGCTCAGGGTGAGCACATCTGCATGCCTTTGTGCAGCCCTCCATTATTGATCATGTGCTTACCATGTGCAGCAGGGCCAGTCAGGCTAATCCCCTAATAATGGAGGCAGGAAATCTGGGCTACACACAAAGGCCCTCGACTGGTTTAGCTGTATGTCACCAACACCAACCAGTATGTTAATAAAGGTACTGTAGGTACTCACATGTTGTGTTGTGGTTCTCTTTTCATATCATCATGCCACATATATATGCATATGCATGCACGCTTTGCACACTTCCAAGAAATTTTAAAGACAGCCGCTGGCTAATTGAGGTTAACTTCTTTTTCAAGAAGCTTAGGCAATAACTCGATTCACAAATCTCTAAATACTGTGGGAGTGACAAAATATCCACCGTAACCTTGATATTTACAAAATGAAATGTACTAATTACATTACTTATACATATATTGTCATATCATAGGTGATCATAGAATGCATATTTTTTGTAGGCAGGGTTTAGTGTAAGGTTACAGACCCTTTCTCCATCTGTCAGGAATCTGGACAGAGGACACAAATGGATGGTGAGGCAGATTAAATTGAAAAAAGCAAGGCTTTGTTTGGGCTGATGAAAAAGCCAAAAAAACAAAAAGTTCAAAAGAAACATGAAGCAAAAAGGAGGAGAATAAATTTCCACTGGCGCACTGACAGGGCAGCACATCAGATGAACCAACAAAGAAAGGGTGGTAAGCACAACTAAACATACACAGAGACTTGATCAATTCAGGAACCACCAAAGTTCAAATCTACCATGAACTGGAAACTGCTGGAAAGCCAGTGTAACTGTCCACAGTGAAACATGTTTTACATCCTGATGGACTGAGAGGGTGCTTGACAGAAATTTGCACCTGCCCACATTTATACATGAACTGGTAACAGTTAGCGCAAGAAAAAAGTTTCAGAGTCAGACGAACCAAATATTGAGCTATTTGGCAACAATGACAAGATGTATGTTTGGAGTAATAAAGGTGAAGCGTTCAAACCTAAGAACACTGTACCAGCTGACAAGCATGGTGGTGGTAGCATCATGCTCTGGGGCTGTTTCGCTGCCAGTGGTGCTTGTACACTGGATAAAGCGGAAGAAAAAATGAAGGAGGACTATACTGAAAATTTGAGGACTGTGCTGGGTCAGTGCCAGGAAGCTACATCAACTCTGCCAGTTCTGCTAAGAAGAGTAGTCAAATATGCAGCCAGAAGTATGTCAGAAGCTTGTTGAGTGTCTGGTTCAGGTGCAATTTGCTAAGGGATGTATAGATGTATATACTTTTAACCCTATGTGGATTAGAGACCATTAAAAAGAAATTCACACTTGTGCAGCCAATTCTTGTTTTTCTTGTTTTAATTGTAATCCCAAATTACCATAACATTCATGCCCATGACGAGTAACTTCTGAGGACAACTGTACATTCATAGAGCCATCAGTCTATAGGCTACTTCCAGGTCCAGGTCACCCTATCCCACTGCTTTAATTATGCACACCAAGAAGGACCCCCATCTGTGTTTTTAGTCCAGGTGATGTTGTTCCTTGGTCTTTCTATTTATTGGCAGGTACTGAGTGAAAAGACAACCATCAGTTTCTGGGTTCTCTGTGTCATTATTCTATTTTCTAATATTTATTTATCTAAAAAAAACAACCAAAAGAAAACTTTCATCCAACTTTCATCTTGTGTCGGATTATTGGACTGTCAGGACTATATAGGTAGGTAAAACATACATTCTGAAAAACAAAGGCTGATTAATACAGCAGGAAAATAGAGAGTGCATAATAAGAGTGTGACACCTTTTTGAACATATATATTTTTCTCCACTGACTGTATTTAACCTTAGATGAGAAATCCTAAATTGAGAATTTCTTGTGTTTTGTTTGCTTTTTTTATAAGTGGGGTGAAAGATATACAGCAGTCACTTATAAACTGGTGAAAGTTGCAATACAGTGTCAGTATTAAAGGAATTGATATATTGTTTTTAGAAAAGGCGCGAAATTTGGTGCATATACAAACAGCTTTTAGAGGATAGAAATACCAATAACAACAGGCTGTCTACATTTTTCACAAGTATTTTATAAAACCCTTAGCTACTAGGTTGTAAAAGTCACTCGTTGCTTTCAAAAGGGTACAAACATTGTAATTATCTGTGTAGTATTTAGCGTATTGGATGGCATGAAGCAGGATATCATGTCTCTCCCAACTCTAACATGCTTTCTCCTGCACTCTGTGTGGGCTACGCTACATTCGCTGATCAGTTTCCAGTTTCACCGCCTATTCTTCCAAGTTCTAAGAGTGCGGCCTGCATCTTTACATTAACTGTGAATGTGTGCGCATGTGTGTGTGCCTGTGTGTGTGCCTGTGTGTGTGTGTTTGTGCTTTAGAAGGTCTTGGTGTTTTAGCAGATTAGTTGGGAGCTATTTGCTGTTGTGTGGTTTGTGTCACATTTCTGCACTGGTGGCGATCCTCTTTTGCTGGTTTTACCTTTCTGTATCTACCCTTGTCATTTTCAGAAAGAGGCTATTCTGCATGGAGTGAATGAGCACAATCAACATGGAGAACAGCAAGGTGACCAGTCGTCCATGTAGAGCCTAAAATGAAAGTTTTTACCTCAGAACAAACGTGCAGTGTTTTTAAGAGCAGTCACTGGCAAATAAAGTCACTAATTGCTGCAGAGTGTTGTAGACATAACTGAAAAGAAGCATTTGTGTTCAACTACTGTGGCAAATGGAAATACCTATTCGTTTCAGTTCAATTTATATATTGCCAAATCACAACAACCTTTAACTCAAGGCGCCGTGAGTTTGAGTTTGTTTATTTAAATAAAAAGCAAAACAGATTTATTGTAAAATCCTTTTGCTACATGTGTTGAACTGCCCCTTAAAGCACTGCTCATCCCCGCTGTGTGCATGTCCCCAGCAGCCAGTGAAGGAGGTGCCCCCCCTGCCTCGCCACCCAACCCCTCTTCCTGTGACCTCTTCCTCTCTGACCCCTGCTGTCACTTCAAAACACCACACCACAGGCTCCATCCAGCATGTGCAGGTGGCCTCATCAGGTGACTAACACATCCAGCATATTTGCATTTATTTATGTATTTGTTAAAGTAATGTAAGAATATGAAAATGCAGCCATTACATGTGTAACTGACAGCCTTGTTCCTGTTCTTTTCTTATAATCATGATCACACTAGATATCTGCAGGTAACACAGGATTTCACATACAGATATATATGTAAGTATATATAATGTTTGTTTACTTGTTTACAGTGGTGACATCGTTCAGTCATCTGAGGCCTCCAGAGAGGGACCTCACACCGTTCTCTCAGATGAAGTCTGTTAAGTCTCTGAGGCATGCCGGCTTCACTGCGGTCTTCACTGGACAAGCGGTGAGCTGGCTGGTGCATTGTTATGTACCGTACTGTACTGTGTTACATATCAGTGTGGCTGTAGCTCAGGAGGTAGAGCAGGCCCTCTGCTAATTGGACGGTTGATGGTTCGATATCTGGCTGTTCCAGTCTGCATGCCAAAGTATCCTGAGCTAAGTACTGAACCCCAGGTTGTTCTCTGATGTTGTTCCATCTAAGTGTGAATGTTAGCTAGAAAACAATTAAGCAGATATGTGTGTGTATCTATCTATCTATCTATCTATCTATCTATCTATCTATCTATCTATCTATCTATCTATCTATCTATCTATCTATCTATCTATCTAAACATGTTGAGTGCTCGCATAGAGTAGAAAGGTGCTATGTAAGAACCAGCCTGTTCGTATATAGCACAAAAAATAACAATAAATTCGTTGTGAGCACCGCCCCCTATTTACACAATAACCCAGTCTAAAAGTTGATTCCCTGGTGCTGCTGATGGAAACCTGGAATGGACACATTCATCCATTTTTTAATCATCCATCCATCCATTCTCATCTGTCTTCTGCTTCCTATTTAGGGTTGTTGGGGGCTGGAGCCTATCCCAGTGGATGCTGGG